CTCTCTGTCTCCCTCCAGCAAATATATGTGCGTTATAGCAATCTTTTTTTAAAATTAAAAATAATACAATAAAGAAAGAATACATCAGGGCCAGCAGGTGGTGGAGCAGTTAAGTCAGTGGACTCCCACATGCCCAATCACTGTTTGAATTCTGAACCTGGTGGCTTCAAACTCACGCGGGGCACATGTGTGTGCATGCCCAAGATCCTGGGGTGATTTCTCACTCTTTTGTCTCTCTCTCTCTCTCTCTCTGGCAGGTGCATGTGCCCTAAGACAAAAACCCTCTAAAAAAAATAATAAAATAATACATCTTGAAAGCAATCCTAAGAATGCCAAGGGATGATCAACGGGTGTTTAAACTACTTTAAAGACTGCCTGGCACAGCGTATGTGACGCTACATTTGCTATTATTATTTTTGTTTTGTCTTATTGAGGTATAATTTAAAAAGTTCTCTCCTTTTAGTGTATTAGGATTTCTTTTCTGATAACCAGAGAGAGAGAGAGCACCCCCCAATGGGGCTGGTTATGCCACAACCCTTTGCCTTCCATCAGGATCTTGGACACGCATGACATGTGCTCAGCGTCTTTTTCAAGCCACTGGAGCTGGGATTCAAACCATGGATGGTTGACATGTGGGATTCAGCTTCTTCCACACAGGGCTTAACTGCTTCCTACAGGCCTGGCTCCAGTTCCTTGGCAAACATATACGGTCAAGTGACCACCACCACAATCAAGGTACACTTTCTACAGCAACCCCACCCCCAATTCCTTCTCGCCCTTTGCCATCAGCCCCTCCCTCCACCACAGCCCCTGGCAACTATTGATCTTTCTTCTCCCTGTTGTTTTGCCTTTTTCAGAATGTCAGATGGAATCATTCAAAAAGCCGCCTTGAGGCTTATTTTTACAAAAAGAATTATTAATTCATTTATTTTAATTTGACCAGAGAGAGGGGGAAAGTGAGAAAGTAAGCCACCAGGTCCAGGACTTGAACCATGGTCAGCCATGTGGGAGCATCCAGTGCCTTAACCACTATACCACCTGCTGGCCCCTGTCTTGCTCTTTCACGGAGCATAATGCATGTGAGGTCTCCGCCTGTCGCTGAGCATGTGAGTAGTATTCTATTTCCGTTTGTTTGCCCAGTCACCAGCTGAAGGACATCTTCGTTTTTGATGACTATAAAGACGCTATGCCGCTCACATTTGACTTTCACACTTTTCTGCTCCTGGTCCTCTCCTGGGGAGAGGACTGCTGGGTCATCCGGTGAGCTTCCGTGTAGCTTCACGAGAACCCGCCAGATGGCCGCGCCAGCTTCCGTGCCCAGGGCACAGGGCGGTTCTGCAGCTCTGCACCTCACCAGCTGTCGGTCAGGTCCATCTTCTTAGCCAGCTTGCTGGGCACGTAAGTTAGCTCATTGTGTTTTGTATTTTTGCCAGTGGGTGATCACCAGAGACAAAGAGATAGAAAGACTGCCTGGCACAGCGTATGTGACGCTACATTTGCTATTATTATTTTTGTTTTGTCTTATTGAGGTATAATTTAAAAAGTTCTCTCCTTTTAGTGTATTAGGATTTCTTTTCTGATAACCAGAGAGAGAGAGAGCACCCCCCAATGGGGCTGGTTATGCCACAACCCTTTGCCTTCCATCAGGATCTTGGACACGCATGACATGTGCTCAGCGTCTTTTTCAAGCCACTGGAGCTGGGATTCAAACCATGGATGGTTGACATGTGGGATTCAGCTTCTTCCACACAGGGCTTAACTGCTTCCTACAGGCCTGGCTCCAGTTCCTTGGCAAACATATACGGTCAAGTGACCACCACCACAATCAAGGTACACTTTCTACAGCAACCCCACCCCCAATTCCTTCTCGCCCTTTGCCATCAGCCCCTCCCTCCACCACAGCCCCTGGCAACTATTGATCTTTCTTCTCCCTGTTGTTTTGCCTTTTTCAGAATGTCAGATGGAATCATTCAAAAAGCCGCCTTGAGGCTTATTTTTACAAAAAGAATTATTAATTCATTTATTTTAATTTGACCAGAGAGAGGGGGAAAGTGAGAAAGTAAGCCACCAGGTCCAGGACTTGAACCATGGTCAGCCATGTGGGAGCATCCAGTGCCTTAACCACTATACCACCTGCTGGCCCCTGTCTTGCTCTTTCACGGAGCATAATGCATGTGAGGTCTCCGCCTGTCGCTGAGCATGTGAGTAGTATTCTATTTCCGTTTGTTTGCCCAGTCACCAGCTGAAGGACATCTTCGTTTTTGATGACTATAAAGACGCTATGCCGCTCACATTTGACTTTCACACTTTTCTGCTCCTGGTCCTCTCCTGGGGAGAGGACTGCTGGGTCATCCGGTGAGCTTCCGTGTAGCTTCACGAGAACCCGCCAGATGGCCGCGCCAGCTTCCGTGCCCAGGGCACAGGGCGGTTCTGCAGCTCTGCACCTCACCAGCTGTCGGTCAGGTCCATCTTCTTAGCCAGCTTGCTGGGCACGTAAGTTAGCTCATTGTGTTTTGTATTTTTGCCAGTGGGTGATCACCAGAGACAAAGAGATAGAGACAGAGGGAGAGGGAGAAGGCAACCCCCAGTGGGGCATGGTCATATCACAATTTCTTCTCCATGTCTCTAGCTGGTTGGAGATTTAGGGCATACATACTCCCTACCCCGTTTGTGTTTTCTGACCTTCCAGGGCTGGGATTTGAACCACATGGTTATCCATGTGGGATCAAGCTATCTTAACCAACAGGCCACAGAGCCAGCCTGAGAGTTCTTTATATATTCTGGCAATGAGTTGTTTTTAATTTTTTTTTAAGAGAGGTTTTTGCTATAAGGCATGTGTGCTCGCTCGCCAGAGAGACAGAAAGTGAGAAATCTCCTCCCCCCCCAGGAGATGGCCACATCACAATCCCTTTTCCTCCATTCTCCTCTCAGGCTTGTGGGCATGCATACACGCACACCAGGCATGAGTTTTAAGTCATCAGGTTCGGGATTTGACTACGTGGGAGTCCAGGAATGTAACCATTACACCATCTGCTGGTCCCACTGGCAGGAGTCTTCTATCAGATGTGCGCTTTACAAAGAACGCAGCTCTGTGGCCCAGTTTTTCTTCTCTTAACAGCATCTAAGGAGAGTAGAGTTTTTCTTCTTTTAACAGCATCTTGCTTTGTAGAGGTTTTTGCATTTAGGGCATGTGCACTCACTGGTGAGAGACAGAGACAGTGAGAGAGAAAGAGAGAAACCACCCCCAAGGGGGGATGGCCACACCATAATCCCCTCTCCTCCATTCTCTTCCCAGGATCTTGGGTGCACACACACACACACACACACACACACACACGCACAGTGTGAGTTGAAGGTCTGGGGCATGGATTGCTGCTGGTTATGTGGGATTCCAGTGACATAACTGCTACACTATCTGCTGGCCCCTAAAAAACATTCTTTAATTGCCGAAAGTGTGTGTGCTCACCAGAGAGCAGAAAAAGCACCCCCTGATGGGGCGTAGTCATGCTGCAATCACTTCTCCATCCTGTTGGACCGGCCATGTGGGATCTGGCTCCCTTAGCCACAAGGCTATGGGCCAGCCCCGCAAGTTTTAATTTTTTGCTTTTAATTTGCTAGATAATGCATGTGCTCACCAGAGGGGGAGGAAGCTACGGAGAGGGAGAGAGAGAGAAAGCACTCCCCATGGGGGATGGTCATGCTATAATCCCTTCTCCTACATTCTTCTCTTAGGGTTTTGGGCATGCCTGCATACATGCCTAGCGTGTCATTCAAGCTATGTGGTCCAGGACTGAAACCACACCATCAGCCACGTGACATCCAGCTGTCTTGACCACCATGACACCAGCTGGCTGGCCCAGAAGTTTGTTTTTGTTTTAGTTTTTTGCCACAGGGTGCATGCACTCACTGGAGAGAGACAGAGAGAGGCAAAGTGAGAAATCACCCCCTTGGAAGAACGCCATGCTGCAATCCCTTCTCCTTCATTCTCCTCTCAGGATTTTGGGCACACACACACATGCACTGGCATGAGTGTCAAGCCACCAAGTCCAGGACTCAAACCACAGCCAGCCATGTGGGAGGCCAGTGCCTTACCCACCATGCCACCTGCTGTCCCTATCATTTTTTCCTTTTACCATTAGTACACTGATATCATGGCTGTCAATAAAGCTTTGTACAGTCCCAGGTCACAGAGATTTTTCTATGTTTTCCTTTATGTTTAGTATTGCGTGTTACATTTTGGTCTATGATCCATCTTGAGTGCATTCTGTGATAGAGTGCAAGGCAGTTTTTGCACACAGGTGTCCAATTATTCCAGCATCGTTCGTTGAATATTCGCAACGATGACAAACACCGCCAGTACTCTCGGGGTTGTTGGGAGGAGGGAGTCGGCCAGGGGACATATTGGTCCCATCTTGCAATCAAGCTGGCTGTCAGAGAGCCCCTCGAACCTCACAGCTGGAGTGCGTTGCAGCTCTCTGCAGGCAGAACTGCTTTCTGTTCTCTTTACCTCTTCTCTCTTCCCCAAAACTCCTTTATAAAACAAGCCAAGAAAAGGCAGGGGTGGCCTCGCGGTCTGGCAACATCCCTTTGAAAATAAACAAGTGCAGAAACTGAAAGGCAGTGGCTACCTCTGGGGACTACTCGAGGAAGAGTTCAGGGCCGGTGCATCCGCTGCGCGTGGCTCTCCTGCCCTAGCCAGCCGGCCAGCCGGCAGGTCGGATACGGAGAAACCAAACAGGATCCCGATTGCTTCAGGGAGCTTGCCTCCGGCCGGCGAGACCTGCAACAAATTTGCAGCGGATGTTTCGTGGTGGCGGTGGGGAGCGGAAGAGTCATGTGGCTAAACAGCTCTACCCGGTCTGCACGGCCTCCCTTGTCCTGGTCTCTGCACAATGCTGGAAGACGAGAAGGGCAGGATGGGTACCCCTGCCTTCCAGACAGGGAAACTGAGGCACAGGAGAGATGGAGGAGTCTGGTTTGAGGGTTTTTTGACAGCTTTATTGAGGCGTAATTTACATCCCATTAAATGCACCCGTTTTGAGTGTACAATGAGTTTCAATGTTTATTCAGTTGTGTAGTTATCCCCACAACCCAATTTTACAACATTCTCACCCAAAACCAATCCCTCACACCTCTTCGTAGTCATCCTGCTCTCAGCTCCAGGCAACCCAGGCTCTGCTTCCTGTTCTCATCGTTTTTTCTTTTTCTAGACATTTCAAGGAAACAGAACCATACGATGGTATGTAATCACGGTGGGATTTCTTTCTTTTCTCCCTAAAGAGTTATTTACTTTTATCCATAAGTATTATTATATTTTTTTAAAATTTTGTTCTGGGGCACATGCACTCACCAGAAAGAGAGAGAAAATGAGAACGCAAGCTGCCAGGTCCAGGACTCAAACCGTGAGGCCATGAGGGAGTTCAGCACCGTAACCACCACGCCACTCGCTGGCCCCCATAGTGGGATTTCAAGCAGAATCTAGAAGGAAACCAGAGCCAGAACAGAGAACTCTACTGAGGGTTCCCCTCCTGCTCCGTCACCTTTTTGGAATCACTGTCCTTCTTTTCCCTTCTATGAGAGAAAGAGACAGAAGATATCCCCAGTGGGGTCTTCATCCACTCTTAGTCTAGCCGGCCTGGATCAATTAAAGCAATTAAAAAGAAACTTGTTTTATTAAAAAATAAAAAAATTAGGGAACCAGCAGTTAGCGTAATGGCTATGTCGCTGGACTCCCACATAGTCGACCGCGGTTTGCGTCCCGGACCCGGTGGCTTAAAACTCACGCCGGGCATGTGTGTGTGCGTGCCCAAGATCCCGAGAGGAGAATGGAGGAGAAGGGACTGTGGTGTGACCATCCCCCCTGGGGGGTGATTTCTCACTTTCTGTCTCTATGTCTCTCTCTGTCCCTCTGGTGAGCACATGCGCCCTATAGCGAAAAACCTCTCCAAAAAAAAAAAAAAAAGAAAAAAAATTAAAAAGAGGAAAATGTTGTCTAGGCCAGGGGACCCATCCCTGGGCCAGTCCATGGCCTGTTTGGCACCTGCTGCCCCTACCCCACTCCACCCCCACTGTACTGGGAGCCGGGAATGAGCAGCAGGTGACCAAGGAGACTGAGTGAGGCCTCGGCCGTGTTTGTAGCCCCTCCCCATCGGCGGATCAGCGGTGGTACTGGATTCTCACGGGGGCATGAACCCTATCACTGTGTGATTACCTCACTGTATATTGCAAGGTGGTAGAAATGGGGAGCACAGTGGGTGTGCTGAGCTTGGGTCACCCTGGGACCAACTCTCCCTCCAGTGTGGGGGGACCATGTTTCACAAGGCTAGTTCCTGGTGCCAGGAAGGTGGGACCACTAGTCTAGGGCAAGGGTTGGCTGCTTTTTTCGGTGAAGGGCCTAAGTATTTTCGACCCAGGGGGCTGTACAGTCTGTTCTGATGATGCAGATCTCCTGTTGTACGGTAAAACCAACCAGGGAACTAGGTAAACAAAGGAGCGTGGCTGTCAATAAAACTTTATTAACAAAACCAGGTCGTGGGCCAGATCTGCACAGCCCTGGTCTAGTGGAAGAGGGGCTGAGTTCTGAAGCCTCCTTTACTGAGTCCCTACTGAGTCCTGTTCGGGATGTACTTCCCTGACCTGGGCAGAGCTTTCCGTACCATGTGAGGCTGCTTCCCTGCTCTAAACCACTCAGGGTTGCTGGAAGGTCAAATGAGCTCATCACCCAGGGAGTCCTGAGGGAGAAAGGAGCAGAATTCAGAGCCTCTTGAGGTTCTTTGATGCAAAGCAGATTGTTGTTTCTGCCAAGGTCTGGAGAGAAAGCCACTGACCTCAAGTCACCCAGTGCCTCCCAGGGCACCATCCCAGGGGCAGCCCCGAGGAGACCCACAGGCTTAGCACCAAGTCCTGGTCTCTGCCTTCCATTGGCCTTCTCCACAAGCTCGGCAGAGAACAATAGGGAA